CGGAAGATCTGGCAGAAAAGCTGGCTGCATGGAATCCATGCAAGGCAATGCGAAAGTGATCCGACCCCTAATGCCTCGTCCTGATTCGGACGGGGCGCATGATACGAATGCAGTCGGATGTGCCTTCGGACTGGTGACCGAAGTGGGACCAGCTGCGATGGCAGGCTGCGGCTCGGGAAACAGGGCGTCCTGTGTTATAGACGGCCGGCATTGCTATTGCATGGTCTGATGGGCATCTCCTCAAAGGGTAGCCCTACTATCCGTTCCTACGAGGCACTCCCGGGAGTCCTGGTTGGCGTAGTAACCGTGATGCCGCATTGATACGAGCTTGTCGTGATAATACCTCTCGATCCTTTAGTTGTGATATGTGGCATCTCTCATACTTCTGATAATTAAAGGGTCAACCATGCTATGCTTTGGCCAAGGTATTGGGCGAATGCTGGTGGGGCTGGCACCTTTATGCAACCCGACGCTGCCTACAAGGGCAGCCGGCTACCCTGCAAGCTGATGATGGAAATGACGTAAAGTATCGATTCCCCGCGCAGTGTAGAACTTCTAAGCACGAAAACTCCTCGAGTAAACGTTATACGGAGTGGCCGCTTGTTCCGTCGAGGGATTTGTTGTGAAGGATGTTTGACGCTGGACCCTGGCTATCAGACGCGGATCACCGATGACTCAGTCGGGGAGACAAACGATCAAACAAGCGCCAAGAATGGGGAAATTGGCCTGGGGAGTCCATTCCATGCGCCAGGCATGATTTTGAAAATCGAAGAGGATCGCCAACGTCGTGAAATGCAGTCTATTATTACTGCAAGAGCCAAGTGCCAGGGCCCAAGATCTTGCGAGGAGTGCCCAGCATAAACTTGGCGTCGGCGGTCCGAACGCAAGCCAACGATGTCGTCGACAGGGCCAAACAAGGCAAGGGTGGATCACGCGACCATGGATTCGGTTGTTGGGGCCGCCAAGACGGCGTTCCAGTCCAGGCGGCTGCGGTACGTCAAGATGGACGAAGCAAACGAGGACATCAAGGCCTTCATGCCCGAGGTTGAAGGGGACCCGGTGACACAATGCCTAGCGAATCCGTCACTTTTCCGGCCACAGGGGAAGAAGGAAATCGATTACTCAACTGAGCAGTTTGCGAAGTCGTTTCTAGGCGTTGCGATATGCCTTCACCCAGACGAGGAGATAAAGCAAGCTGGTGGCAGCGCAACATCGTCCACCACTAGCAGCACTGCTGCCACCGACAGCCACTGCAGCTGCAGAAAGACAAGCAAGACAGGCACTATCATCGGGACCATGTGCCTAGGATGGGGAGGCATCCCTGCGGCGACTGCACATCATCGCAATGCGCAACTGGGCATCGTGTTGGCCGACGCGTATCAGGGCCGTGGGTACGGGCGTGAGGCCATCAATTGGATGCTCGACTGGGCATTCCGTCATGGCGGCTTACACACAGTCAGTCTCGTCACGTACTCGTTCAATGAGCGCGGGGTGCATCTCTACAGCGACATCGGGTTCCAGCTCGAGGGGCGGCGGCGGCAGGTGGCCTGGTTCGACCGGAAGTGGTACGACGAGCTGTGGTTCGGCATGACAGAAGACGAGTGGGAGAAGCTGAGAGGCCTGAGATGAAAGCGAGTACCTGGGAGGGCTGTGAGCAGGCAAGCCACGGTGGAAGAGCATGAGGCGATCCTGGCAGGCTGAGGATGATGGACAGTTGCATCCGCGCCCACCACCTTCCTTGTACGGGCGCAGATGGGGGAACAGCCAGTCTCAGCTCACTAATAGCAAACGTAACGGCAAACGCGTGAAGGTCCGGGCCAAAGCAGCTCGACTGTATTGCCGAGGAGACTCGACTCGTGCTGTGAAGCCATTCCATGGGGCTGCCGGGCGTCGAGTGCCGTCTGCCGGGCCAGATACACCGCAGAAGGGCCACGATCGGGGCACAACGAACTTGGAGGCTTAGCATCCGGCGATTAGCAACATTAGCCCGGATCGTGGCCACTCAGGATGCAAGACAGGGCGATGAGGGTGTCGAGGAACAGCGTGCTGGACCCAGGCTGGTGGCTGCGGGTTCGATGAGACATGGCTTGATGCCAAAACGTGGAGCACCAACTTTACTGTACAACTGCATCTCCGCATTATTAATTGAGTGCAATGTGAATGTGAAATGGGGGCGGGTGGCTTTCGGCGCGGGAGCCTATGCTCTTGCAGACCAAGGCACCAAGAGGCTTGGGGGTTGGATCGAATCACCACGGTGTTGGCTCTGGCTCGTGCGGGAGGCTGATGAGGAGGATGGGCGACGGCGATAAAGGAGGAGGAGTGACGTGACGTGACGTGACGCGAGGTCGATTCGGCACTGCTGCGACGCTGCGGATGCGGACGGAGGGTTGTGAAGGTTGTGATTGGCATCAGCTACACCGTATATTCGTACGGAGAAAGGCATTGGCAAGTCCAGTGCCATTGGGCAAGTTGGGCCGGGCAGCACCTTCCGTTCTGACGACGATTATCATCAGTTGATGGGCAGGAAGGAGCCCGTTGGGGCAGGAGCCATGGGCGACAAAGGTCGCAAGCAAACAAAACGGGACATCAAGACTTGACAGCTCAAGCTCCTCAGGCAGCGCCGGCAACACACGGACGCACAGCGTACGCGTCTCTCAAACCGCATTCGACCGAGCACTCAATTCCACTTGGTTAAACATGACACGATCAACACGGCAGACGTCTCGCACTGCCGCAACTCGCACTGCCGCAGCAAACCCGCCCCCTGCTGCTGTCGCTACCCGGTCTGTCCGACTGTCCGTTCTGAAGGGTCGGCCGTCCGGCCTCCCAGCGTCGCCGTGGCGGCAAGCGCTCGAAGCCGAGCACTGACGCCTCGCCCAGCAACCCCGCCGACGCACGTTTCGTCTCGTTTCTCGGGTGAGATGTGTGTGTGTGTCTGCGTGTGCCAGCAACAGCGATGACCTTGGCTGCAGCAGCAAAACCTCCGGCAGTCGTTCGACCTCGCCCCAAGCGCAACGATGAATGGATGGATCGCGCAACGGGGATCCCTGCCGGCCTCGCCGATGCAAGCACCCGCACCCCCAGCAACAAACACACACACACGCACTGGGGGGCGACACGCGAGTTGGGTACATGCAGCGCTTGGGACGACACACGCCTCGGGGAACAATGCGACGCCGCCACTGGCCCGGACCAGCATCGCTGGCTCACGCACGGCGCAGCCACGCCCGCAAACTCTCTCCGCACCGGCAACCAAATCACGGCCCAAGCCAAGCTCCACCGAGCTTAGGTTAGCTCGCCTCGGCTTTGGGCCGTTGGGTTGGCACCTCGTCCATCATGATGCCGTCTCATCGCCCCCAGCTCACCTGACCCCATCTCCCGCCGTGGCTTGCTTGGATGCAGATGGTGACTGTGATGGCCCAGGAACTGGGTGCGCCTGCGCTTCGTCCGCCCGCTGCCACCCACCTCCATCCGTTATCATCATCCCCCGACTTCCCGTTTCTTCCTTGGTGATACATACACCGTGCTGTAGTGTACCTCCTTTCATTACATACCATCCCTGCCTCAACATTGGTTTCCTCTGGAGATCCCGTCTCCTATATAACCCACCTTGCCCTCTACACTTCGCTCCATTTCAGTCGATACCCGACTACAGACATATCTACCTACCACAGTCTGTGCAACGACCACCCGCTGCTGGGTTACCAATCAGCCATCATTCACTCTCTCGAGGACGGTTGAGCCCAAGGTCAAACAAACATGGCTCGGCGTCCCGACATTGTCCCTTCCTTCCGTGAGCCCGCCGTAGTCGTCTCTCCGACCACGGTGGACCAGGAGCTCAGCCGCGGCCGCAAGAGGTCTCGCAGCATCACACGGGCCGACGTCAAGTCGCTCCGCTCTGACGAGTCGAGCAACCTACGCGGACGCTCGCCCCGGCGGGCGACATCGCCTTTCGGGCTCGTCTCCCGCAACACATCTCCGTCGATGCTCTCGCCGACAACGCAACTCCTCCGCTACAACCAACTACGCAACGCCCGTCGCGAGCACTGCCCGTCACGGACGGGGTCACCGGCCGACCAGCGGCCGTTTCGCCGGCGTCAGCGTACGCGCAGCCGCAGCCGGGGGCCGGGCTTGGAGCAGGACCCCCGTCGCTCGCTCGACACCTTGTCGAGCCTCAGGAACGAGGTATTGATGCTGCACGATGACGAATCCGCCAACGACGAGGATAAATAAATGAAAGGCGGCGGTAACGGCGCATGAGCATGATCATTGAGACACGAAAAGTTACGACCTGTACGATAACGTCACATCATGGGAGATTGCAGCTGTTGTTGCGTCAGCGGACGGGGGAGGCGAGGGTGCAGGTGCCAGATGGTGCAACCTGGGACACCCACGGAGGCATCGGGGAGCATGTCACGGAAACAGCTTGGACTGGAGACGTCTGTCGACAGGCCCTGTATGATTGCTTTGGGCGCGCATGATGCTACATGGCGTTTGCGAATTACAATTGAGAATTGATCTTGTCGATGCTGCAAGAGTTTCTGTACTCGTGAACGGCCTCCATGACAACGGCCTTGTTTCGAGCCTCGGGCAGCCAGTAAACTTGCCCCCACAGCCGCTGACAGCAACGTAGAATATAGACGGCCCCGTCCCCAACTTTCAGTGGTTGCCAGCGGCAGATTCATGCCATCGTACGAGAACAAGAGAGACGCCCCACTTTCCAGCAAACGAGCTGCACGTGCAGGCGCCGTTCTCTGGCGGCCAGCGACCGCCTGCAGCGCCATCCGCCATTTTGCGGGTCCCGGTCGGCAATCTGCAGAGCTTCCATTCGGCGAGCAACTTTTTTGCCCGTCAACGATAATCACAGTCCGAGGGCAACCTTTCGGGAAGTCCAACACGCTCACTCCATCGACCGCGACGTACGACCTCGCTTCGCTCCAGCAGCTGCCAAACCGGCGCGAGTATGCCAACACGGCCGTCCTCGATAGCTTTGGTCTAGAAGCCGGCAGCGTGCGTGCCAGGCTGTCACCCGAGGACCAATGCTCGAAAGAACGGCCGCCGCCAGCCTGGAATCATGCAACCTCCAGCGCGTCCTGCCCAAGGCGAGCCGCCCGCCGAAGCGAAGCAGACGTCTCCATACGGGCTTCTGGCAGCATGGCGCCTCGGCAATAGAGCTGTCTAGTCTCTGGCCGCTGTCGCCGCCTGCCACGGATGCTGAGGCCCCGGACTGCGCGACGCGGCCTGCACAGACGAGCCTGGTCGCTTCTGCTTTTCTGCTCGACTTTCTCTACCCGAACGGCACATATGCGCTTCTCAGACGGCTGTACCCGTCGCTGCCACGGCCACAGGATGGGAGGAGGACCGATGGCTCTTCTCGAAGGCGGAATTTTACGTCTTCGACGGTCGTTGCGGAATCGGATCCTCAAACTCCCGTCGTTCGGATGGAAGCGCCCCAAACTCGCCCTAGTCGACGAAACGCCCGTTCATTCACGAATAACCGAGCTTTGCAGCAAGGAGGGACGAGGCATGTCGCGGCGGTAGTCGCCCCTGATGCCACGCACCCAGCACCCTCAGCTTTGGAAACAAACGAAAGCGCTTTGCAAGCAGCGGATATAACGAGCGCCCCCCGACTCAAGCGCAGATCCAACTCCCGAACGCTCCAAGATTTGCTCTCCCGGCCGGACGAAGAACGGCATCATGATGTCTGGGATCTATATTGCAGGCTGGACGATGACCAGCGGCAAGCTCTCCGCCGCCAGGTTATCATCTACCTTGCCAGGTCCCGAAGCATAGTCGAGATAGGAAGGGCACTGTCTCTGTTCCGCCAGATACCGGTAGACTCGTGGGATGACGAGTTGCAGTCTGCGGGAGTGCTTGCGCTGTTGCGCTCCGGCGACACCGCCCTTGCTGTTGACCGATTCAAGACCGGGCTAGAGCAAAACGGCCTCACTGGCGGCATTGAACACCTGATCTCGCACTCAGTTGAGAATCGCCAGTGGCAGACACTTTTGAAAATTTGGCTAGACTACTATACATCCGATACGACCGACACGGGAAATCAGCTGCGCCATCTTCAGACCATACCGAATATGTGGAAGCCTTATTTCTCCTTCGAACGATATATCGAGACCGAATCATCGGGTCCCGTTCGTGCCATCAATCTCCACTCCAAGACCAGGCTTGGCCTGTCAACTCTACGACGACATTTGGCCGAGGCCGCATTGAGACAGCCCTGTCCGCCAAAACAGGCTGCAGTCATCCTCGACATTTGGGCCGAGAAGCAGCTGTATGAGGGCTATCTCATGCAAATGATGGACCGCTGGAGCAAAGGGCAGGAGTCCAAAGCCAGTCTCGTTGCGCTACCGGATATTTACAAGACGTACCGAGCGATGCCGGGTGCCAAGCCACCTGTGCCACTCCTTCGTGGCTTGTTCGAACTCTACTTCCCTGCAAACGTCGCTGGTCTTGAGGAGGTATATCGTGACTGGCACAGTGCCTGGGGAGACCTCGACCAGTGGGGGTTCGAAAAGTTTCTCAAGTTCTATGCGGGAGCAGGAGATATTCAGGCGGTTAAAGATCTATGGGCACGATATGTGGCTCGATACCCCGATGTCCTGGATCTCCCACGGGCGTTCCGGAGCACCATGAACGTCTATGCGCAGACGGGCGATGTTGCTGCGGCCGAGAAGGAGTTCCGACTGATGACGGACAAGTACGAAGTCACGCCTGACATTGACACATGGAACACGCTGCTGAAGTGCTATGTACGGGCCGACGATTTCCCTCGCGTCCTTCAGTGCTTCGAGGAGATCGACGCTGCGCTTCTCCCGAACTCCTTCACATACGCCCACGTGATGGCGATGGCATCGAAGAAAGGAGACCTCGAGACAACGCTGGAGTTCTTCAATCGCTCGCAGAAAGACCGCGTGCCGGTGTCCAAAGAGATGACCATGGCACTCGTTACCGCTTACTGTCGAAACGATCGCCTGACGGATGCTGAACGGATCTGCTTCGAGCTCGCCGAGCGCAAGGCCACGAGTACAGGCGTATGGAACCAGCTTCTGTACTATAACGGTGCGCAGGGCAAGCTCGACAAGTGCTACGAGCTGCTCCAGGCGATGAAGACACACGACGTCGAGTGGGACAGCCAGACGTACGAGTTTCTCCTCGAAGCGCTCGTTCGGGTCGACCAGATCCAGCCGGCGTTTCAGCTGTTACAAAAGGCGCACGAGGACAAGCTATTTCCTGTGGGCCCTGAGCATTTCGCAGTTGTGATGGCTGGCGCCGTCCGGACTGGAGAGCTCGCCCTCGTCGAGACCATCATGGCTCAAATGCGACAGGCGGACCAACCAATGTCCTTCAAGGGCCAAGTTGCACTTGTGGAGGCCGCCATTCGGCAGAACCCATCGGCGAAGAGGACTCGCCAGCTGGGCAGAGAGATCGTCAAGCACCTGCGGGCCATGCTCCCAGTGCAAGGGGCCAAAGGCTCCAGGGGGGTTGCTAATCTACCGTGGGCCAACACCCCTCGGGGCCTGGTGGAACTGAGAAGACAAACACAGGGCATCGGCCGGGCCATCATGCTGCTTGTCGAGTTGCGCGACTTTACCACGGCCGAGGAACTGGTCAATGTATACGCAGAGGTGTTTCCGAAGTGCAAAGGCGAGGCGGCTTTCCCACCCGAGATCACGTCGGCCTTGATGTTGGGCTATCTCAAAGACGGGCGGCTGGCACAGGTCCACAAGATGTGGAAGCAGACGTGGAACAGCACACTGGCCAGGAGTCAACGGCCTCACGGCGGCATATATCCGGCGCATGAGTACGACCTCGCCCGGCCGCTGAACGTGGTGGCCAAGGCATTTAGGGAGGAAGACGACGGGCGCGGGCTGCTCAGCTGCGTCGAGCAGGTCACGGGCGCGGGCTTCAAGCTGACGCGCAGCAACTGGAACCTCGTGGTGCGATACCTCGCCGAGACAGGTCACTGGGAGCGCGCCATGGACTGGTGCGAGGAGATGCTCATGCCGCGCTGGCGCGGGTGGACGGCCTCGGCCGGCAGCCTCCAGGAGCGGCGCGACCTCAAGAACACGCGCGTCCTGCAGGCGTCCAAGGCCGCCGTCCTCAGCCTCCAGCGGGAGTGGCTCAAGCTCCGCAAGCTGGCTGCCTGGTCCGGCCACGTCTCCCACAAGCTCAAGCAGATCGAGCTGCGCCACCCGATGCTGCACTACGCCTTCATCACCACCGACTACGAGCACCTGCCCGCGGCCTGGACCCGCCCCCGCACCGGCAAGAGCCTCACCCGCGCCATCAAGGACATGCTGAGGCCAGTCTCGTACGATGAGCTCAAGGCCATGCAGCGCACCCTCCAGAGGCAGCTCCGCGCCCTCGAGGGCCGCAAGCAACAGCGCCGGGTCAGCGCCGGCGGTTCGGGCTCCGGTCCGGGTTCTGGTGGCTCCAGCAGCAGCATGAACAAGAGGCCGCCGCGCAGAAAGGCCGCGTCCGCCGCTCATGCTCAAGCCCCAAGCCCCGGCAGCAGCAGCGGCGGCGCTGGCGGCGTTCACGTCGTCCCGAGCAGGCCGTCGCCCAAGAAGGACGCTGCGCAGACCCGGCCCGTCCGCCAGGCCGCTGACGTGAAGCACCTGAAGCACCTGGACGTGGCCGTCCGGGAGAGGTTGAGCGAACTGCAGGATGCGTCATGATGAGGCGTCAGCGTAAATGGATTCGATGCATCAGGTGACAACCGGTTAATAGAGGACGAAAGAGAGGGGGGAGTAGAAAGACGCCACCCTGGGGCCAAATAGGGGGGTCATGGCGCAATTGTATAGAAATCGGTCCCCTTACTATTTTTGCCTTGTATAGTAGTGTAACAAACGACCGCGGGGAGCGGCAGACGGCAGATTTATTCATGTCGAGAATAGAAGAGAAGTTGGAATCCATCCATATCTTTGATCATTGATACGAAGCCTATCAAAGAAGTCATCCGCCCTAGCCCTCCAGCCAACGTCTCCTATTAATTCACCACACCGCCTGCTAGCTGCTGCCAGATGGCCGTGCCAAAACGCGGTCAGAACTCAGCCCACGCCTGAGCGCCCCCTGTCATTCCAAACGATGGAAGCACTCGTAACCCAGAGGTCAAAGTCAATACTCGCCAGCCCAAGTCTATGGTTGTGAAAATGGAACAGAAAAGACCGATGGATATGTGTTGTGCGTCGTGGTACGTGTGAACGCTGACCCAATAAAGAGAGACCCGTATCCTAGAACACCGAAACTACCAAATATGCAATGAGCGGATTGAAGCCGAGTCAAAATATACAATGCTTTGCGAGAGTAGCTCTGTGGCTATGTAGCCGAGAAGGCAAGCCGTTAGTCGTCCTGTGAGCCCGGTGGTGCCTTCTTCGGTTTCACTCCCAAGGAGCGGAGTCGCTGAGACAGCAAGCCCTCTGCGCCGACCGGAGACCCGCTGCCGGTTGGGCTGCCGTTGAAATTGTAGCCGCCGTAACCGGCATCGCCTTTGTTGAGCTTCTCGTATTGCGGAGCTCCCCAAGGGATAGCACCGGACGAGTCCTTTGTGGAAGGCCGACTGTGTGATGACGACTCGGGAGAACGCAGTCCAGCTGCGGTGATGGCTGTCGAGTCACTGATGTCACTGCTTCCGCGCACGTGAGGGGTTGGGAGCCTGAATGGTATCGGCTCAATCGGTAGCGTGTTTCCGCTCGCGGTGCCCGTGCTGGCCTGGCCGTTGGTATCCAAGCCATCCAGTATGTCGAACGACGCGCGGTTCGCCGCTCCGCCAAAAGACACGCCCAGGCTTCTCCTCCTGAAAGCCTTCTCCGCTGCGAGCATGGCCGCCGGTCCGGTTGATGACGACGCGGGAGGATGCATGACGCGGATGGGCTTGTAGGGCGTGAAGCGCGGCTCCGGCCACGTCGTCTCGTTGCGCAGTTTCTCCTTGCCCTCGGGCACACAGTTGGCGAAAACGACACGAATGCTTTTGTACAGGAAATATCGGCCCTTTGACGGGCAGCAAATGTGCAGATGAACAAGATAGCGGAGCATGGGCCGGCTCATGCTGTCGGATTCGCTGAGATTAGGGACATGGTCGATGATGGGACCTGCTGAGTAGCTGCGCTGTCGAATGAACGTCTTGGTGCCTGGCTCCATGCCGGTGAGATCGTAGGGGACCAAGAACAGCTTTACGGCTGTCTTGTTTTGATTCTTGATGATGAGTTGGATCTGTCCCTTCTCGGGGATTCGATAACTGCCACCCGGTGGCCTCTTTGGCGATCCGGAGCGCCGCTTCGTCTTGGGCGCTCGCTTTTGCTCCACTTCGGGGCCGGAACCAGTCATTTCGATGTCGGCTTCCGCCGACATTCTTTCGGAATACCGGCTTTGAGCCTTCCTTCTCAGCCTGAGCTCCTCCTCGGGGTTGGTGAGGCCGTTTTCGAGGTCAATCTGTCCAACGTAGGGGCTGGGCCCGTCGTTGGACCGCGACCTCCCATGGGCAGTACTGCCGTAGCTGTAGTACACAGCGGCAAACGGCAGCGTGACATGCTCCGGGCAACGCAATGTCGGCTTGCACTTTCCTTTGCCCAGGACTCCTATTTGTGCCAGAAAGTCAAACGGCTTCGAGGGAGTGGTTGACATGCGACCCCGAAGGATGCTTTCTTCATATGACCCGACCATGGAGGCGTGCTGGATCGGGGAGGCATCCGAGCTGAAAGACGGCCGCCTCGATCGTAGCAGGGGAGTTTGCGGTGAGGAGCCTGGCTGAAGGAAGCTTGGCGTCGAGTTGAGAGACCTACGAGGCTGATGCGCCTGGTAAGGGAGGGACCCGTCCCGTCTCAGCGGCGTCCAAGCGGTTATGGATACCCGAGGCGACGGGGAGCCGAAAGGCGAGGAGTGAGATGAGTTGAGCGTGTGGCGTCTGGAGCTGTGAAAGCCTGCAGACAAGTTGGCAGCTCCACGCTCGAGGGCGAAGTCGAGCTCATCGTTGCTCTCTGACTGAACCAGAGGACTGGTGGGAGGCTGATAGGCGAAACTCGAGGACAGCGAGGACGACAATGGAGACGCAACTGGCCGGATGCCCTGTGATATGCCCTGCAGGGAAACCCTGTGGTCGAAGGGGAACGGCGTAAAATCTCGCGGAGGGGACGTAGCGATCCACGGGCTTTGTGTCACGGGCTGGGGGAACTTTTGTCTTGTGGCGCCATGACCGCGCTGGCCGTCATCTCGTCTCTCATCGTGCGTAAAGTCCCCGCTATGCAGCGCTGAGCGGGGTCGCTCAATACTCAGCCCGTCTTGCAGCCGCTCGTCTGGGTATACCTGTGTCGTGCGGTTCTTTTCCGGGGTTATCGGGGCTGGCGGGAGGAGGCCGGACGACTGGGACGAGGAGCGGGAGGTTTTGCAGGCGTGCGCGGTGGTGGTAGACGTCCCGACCACGGATTCGCACTGCGAGATGGGGTCAGCATAAGTGAACGACAGCTGAAAACAGGTATCTGCCATGGAGCGCACTTGTCTACTGGGAATCCAAGCCGAGTTCTCTCCGCGTTTCAGCCGCTCAATCAGATCCGTGCGGTCGAGGACTGCACCATCGCCGCTGTTCCTCTGCGGTGTTGACTGATACGGCGGACTGTCGGGGATAGGGCCCTCGCAGAGTTCGGTGCGCAGACTTTCTTCGGAAAGACGTCTGAGAATGGGAGACAACGGGCGGATATCGATAGGTTCGGGATCGAGGCAACGAGAGCGTTGCTCGTGGTCGAGGTCAGCCTGAAAGATGGGCATTTTCGGTTCGGTCCGAGGTGCGAGACATTAGAAGAACCGCAGCACAAAGCTGCGGCCCTTTGAAAAGTCGTCGGTCAATATGGCTTGGGCGTAAGGGTGCTCGCGTCGGGAGGCGGCAGAGGTGAAGTCGGGATGCCGGGCCCCGGCGACGGTCGGCGGACGTCGGGTTGGGCGTGGTGTGCGGTAGCTATCGCTGGTCGGGCGACGACGGCGGCGTCGGAGAGCGGCTACTGGTCACTCGGAGCAGTCACATCGGACCAGCTGGATCGGTGGTTGGGTCGAGATGGAAAAGGATGGCTGACAGGAGGTTGAGGAAGCGGTTGGTCGAAGTCGATGGCGGTGAATCATGCAAGAGCCGAGAACGGTGGAGGCACGGCAGGTCAAGGACGACGATTGCGACTGACAGTTGCGGTTAAAGGTAAGGCGCGGGTGGGGTGTTAGTGCCGTCATCGTCACGGGCTCTGGGGCGGTAACAGCAGTACATTTCATGGGCACAGCGCCAGTAGTCCACACTTTGTACGTAACAAACTCAATCAGTCACGGGCGGCTCACTTTACTTCGATATTGGCCGGCAAAGTAAAGCGTCAGGTGCTTGATTAATCCCCTCAGGAGTGAGCAGTACTTTTTTCACCAGGCTTGGGCGCCCCTGCTTTGTAGATTGCGTGTAATCAACTGACCCCCGACCAGCCTTGCAACCTGGCGACGTCTTTTAATAGCAAGCACCTGACGTGCTCCGAGTCTTCAACGGGGCCTTCTTTATTGCTCGTACTACTCACTGTCCTGTACTTGGTACGTGCAAGATGCCAAGGCCAACCTCACGAGAGGGGGAAAGACAGTCGAGGCAGGGCGAGGCAGGGCCCTGCGGCGGGTCTGGGCTGCGGAGGCTTGGTACTGGAGCCAGCTCATGAATCATCCTGACGCGATGCGATGCAGCGGCTTGCTGTCGTCAGGCACGCAGGCAGCTGTCGTCCGCCAAGTTTGAACGGCTTCAGGCTGCCTGCCGCAGCTGGAAACAGCTGAACCCAGTCCACCAGCGCCCCCGTCCAGCTCCCGCTCAGTGGCCTTGTCTAAAGTTCCGTCTGGCGGCAGCTAAAACCTGGAATACAGCGCTCGACCCAGCGCCAATGGGCAGGCGGCGTCTGGTGGCTGCCGGGACCCACCGCCCACCGGGCATTCTGCCACCTGCACCAATGGCCAATGACTGCCGAATGACCTTCATCCTTGGTCGCAGAAACTTTCCACAGCAGTGACAGCACTCACTCATTCCCCAGCTCACCGAAATATCAAAGCGACTGAGCAGCGACGAACGCCAACAATGGCTCCCAAGCGGCCGCTCGAGGCTGCCGACTCAGAGTCTGCCTCCAAAAAGCCCAAGCGCGGTTTCAGAGTAGGGCCCGACAATTTGCCAGATGGGCCGTGGCGACGAAAAGGTTTGCCCTGCTGCTCTTATCCTCCTCGTCTCTGGCCATTACATATGGGCTCACGCGATATAATCCTTGCAGTTACCAAAATTAAGAAAGACCTCATCCACAAGGCCAAGGTCAAGAAGGAGTATGCAAAGATCAAGTCGCAGGAGCCGCGGCAGAAGCCGCAAAGGAAACCCGTCAGGCAAGACGACTCAGATGACGCCGCCGCGGACAGCCATCGCGATGAGGACGCCGGCGCGTTAAAGGACCGAAAGGCGGACCACGCTACAGAGGCAGCAGATTCCGCTGCGGAGAAGATGCACCCCACGCGCGAGCTCATGCTTAAGGATGAAGAGAAAGCACAGGCCGGCGCCGGCGCAGAACCCGAGGACGGGCAGGGTCCAAGCGACGGGATGCGCCGCAGGACGAGGCGGCCGGGCTACTACGACAAGCAGCTGAGGAAGGCAGACGAGAAGCGCGCCGAAGCAGAGGAGCGCGCAAAGGAGGCCCAGCGTCGCCGCGAGGAGCGCGAGAGGAAGCTGGCGGAGCGGCAGCGTTTCAAGAAGGCCATGGCTAAGACGCGAGGCAGGGACGGCAAGAAGAAACTCGGGCGGGAGAGCACGATACTTCTCGACAAGGTGAAGAGGCTCGTTTCCGAGCAGCAGTGACGCAGAGGTCAGGGTTCAGTCGACTGAAAGCATTCGAAGCGGCGCATTGTCTTCATGGTTCGGGCGTTATGGGGGCTGCGGGAAAAGCACTTTACTGAGGAGTACATACTGTACGTTGGCCACAATACGAATAACTAGACTCGATGTCTTTGCGGAGGAGCGGTCGCCTCAGACTTGGCATGCCTTGACTGCAGATTCTCGGCTGATTTACGACGCACCGGATCGACCCGCCGCGGTTTCACCACTCCTCTGCTCAGATTCAGTAGCAGTTCCAATCGGAAACAAAGATGCCGCGAACCAGACGAGCGGTCACTGGGCTCTTTGTTCGAGCCGACCGTCCTGCCTCAAAGGGGCGAAGCGGAACGGCGCGTCTCGAAGCCCAGGCTACGTTGGTGAATGGGCGTTGGGGGCGCGGAGAGGGTGAAACCGTGCGGGTTGGACAATGTGAATTGTCTCTCGGCGCTGGCACGGACATGATGCGTCGATCCGGGCGGGCGTTGCTGGCAGCACCACGCACCTACCCCCCCAAAACCCCCTCCTTCTCCTCCCCGGGCCGCGAGCCGATTGAGAAGGTGGCATGCAGAGGAGTCAATCGGGGGTGTTGGAATCGACGTGTCCCGCGGTCAGGGATGATGAATGTCACCGTGAAACGATCGCATGGGCGGCGGGCGGGTTGGCTTCTTTGGCACTCCGTACGTCACGTCACGTAGCGACGCCCGCGCGGACGGGCACCGCGTGGGCCCAGAAGCAGCACGTAGCGACGGCAAATCCGCAAAATCTACTTTATCCGCGACGTCTGGCTGCGAGGCTGACTGACGGGTGACGTCGTGCGGCAACGGTCCAACGTGGTGGTGGGTGTACTATGTTAGTAGGCAAGGTACAGAGGGTGTATCTTCCGTGGCTCCGTGAGCTACTTTTCTTCTGTCAGGGTCTTGTCCGCTAGATTGGCGATCTGGGCGACGAGGGGACGCAGACGTCTGTGTGTTCCATGGTGGAGCGAAAACCTGGAAGAATCGACCAGGGGGGTAGAGCATCATCCTTGCCGTGCCCAGCTGTGGAGGTACGTGCTGCTGTAAATGCAGGGCTGCTGGCTGGTCTGCATGCGGAATCAGATGCATCGCTTCTGTGCGAGTTGACCGCCGATGAGAAAGGCGGAGTGCAGTTCAAGGTGTCTTTGCCACGCCTTGTTCCAGAGCGGTGGCTAACGGAAGGGCTGAGCGGCTGGCATGCGTGAAGAGATGGATTCGAACACCGCCCCGTTCTTGTTTGACATAATCTCCATGTTAGCGGTTCTATGGCAATAGAGATACTTACAGTACAATAGTGCGTAGCACAGAAGCTGGCAGTGCTGCAAATGGACTATCGAAGGGAGTCGCCCTCGGCGTGCACCAAAGGGCGGCGCCGTGGGCCCTGTCCGTCTGTGCTTTCTTACCGAAACGGCTGTTAGTTTGCCCGTGCCAGCCGTCGGAGGAATTGTCTTTCAATGTCCATGTTGCAGTGCATGAAAGGGGAGCTCGCCAGCTCATGCCAGTGTGCCGCCGAATCGCAACGGTGAGGGCAGGCAGGCCCCCTGCTCATCTGCTTGCGCTGGACCAAGGGCGATCGCCGACCAAGCAAGGTTTCTTGGATCTCGAGGCATGCATGTTGAGATGGGACAGCCGAGAGACGGTGGACAAGGGGCGTGCAGCCGGGGGCGTCGGGGCAGAATAAGCGGGCAGTCCAACACTTCGAACGCTACTATACTCCATGTGTACTGTATACACCGACATTGTACGAGTTGGCATCAGGGTTGGAGGCTCAGCCCATTGCGATTCTTCGTCAGTGTTTTCGGAAGAACAAAGACGTAGCGCTTGGACCATAGTTATCGGATTGCCTGCAGTCGTATGCCAGGGACAGGCAGCCGACCCGCATGGCTCCGCGCGCGCCGTCTAAAACGGATGGTTTCGCAACAGCCTGGGGGCAGATGGCCACATCCTTGGCTAGTGTGCCCCCTTGTACGAGCAGCAGCCGGCAGCCCCTGGCCAAGGGACTGGCGCGCCCCCTTTTCCCCTCGAGGTTGTTTCGTGCCGGGGGGACGGACCCCATGCAGATGAAACAAGCAAGCCAGCCCAGGGTGGAGCATAGCATGGCCGCTTCGACTCCCGTTCGACGTCGAGGCATCCCATCCCATCCATCCCGCCCGGCCCGTTGGTGATTGATGATGATGATGGTGGTGATGATGCGAGGCAGACCCGGTTTCTGTGCATACGCGGTGTCGTGGTGCCTGCCCTGTTACGTGGGACGGGATGTGGCCATCGCATCGCAGCAGGCTCCCGGCCGGCTGGGTCGGTCGGCGGGACGATCGGCGGCCGTTGATGGCGCGGCCGCGGTCCGACTGCGCGCGCGTGTACGCGATGCAACATTATTCCGACCTGACGTCCATGTATGTATGTACGAGGTGATGCTTACCGTATGTATCCGAGTGCGTACAGTGGTGTACTGTACAGTACCTTGTAAACTCTGTATCTCGCAGAGAACAGGATAGGTATGTATGCCAAGTTCGAATCTCTGGTCTTGTAAGCGGTCTTGGTGTGGGCGCCTCGCCAGCCTGCGCATCCTTCCGATCGCCTCGCACAAGAAACAAGGCACGGCGTGAAGCATTTCCAACCCGCTATTTATAAAAGGGCGGGCTGCCGGCCGGCCGGCCCTCCTGGTCTGCTGCTGTTGTTGGCTGCTCGCGCCGGGAGATTTCAGTCTGGCTGGATGTGCGTCTCGCTCCCAGCTGGGACACGGCGGCGAGACACGCATCTCGGGCTGCATGGAACAACCATCGGCAAATATTCGCCAGACAGAGAGAAGAGCTCCAGTGCTTGGGTACAAGTACCCAGCAGATTGCATGTGCATGCGACATGGCTGGACACGTAGGTTTTCTGCTGACAGCAGCCTCTGGAATGGGCTCATGCGAGTCCAGACCTTGTTCCGCTTTCCGCTTCGGGACGCGGTGACCAAGGACAGTCCCGTCGCGCCACCCGGTTGGCCACGGACGGGTAATGAGTTGAAGCACCAAGGAAGCATGGGCAGGCTGCCTTCCTCTCCTCTTGTTGACCTCTTCTTGTTGACCAAACGACTGGCAAAACACACCGCCGCAAATGCAGAGATGCTTGGCCCATGCTCGCCCCTCCTCATCCCCCATCCCCCTCTTCTGCCGGTATCAGCCATCCATGCCCATCCCACCGGCCGGCTCGCTGAGTCGTCGTCGGCTTTGCGCGGTTTCTCCAGACTGGCTGGCCCGACACACCCCCGGCCGTTTCCCCGATCCAACGAGTGGCGATCCCTGTCTGACTCGTCGCGTGGGACTCGCCGCTGTGGCGGAACACAACGCACGGCGAGCGGTCGATCGGTGCTGTACTGTGCAGTACAGTACTGTCAAGCTTGAGTGTGCCCGAGTGCTCAAGTACGTGCCGCCGGTTGCTGTACCTCGTGCAACCAACGATACTCGCATGCTTTGTTGATGCTCGAACGAGGGAGCTCGTTTCGCTCCCCCCTAGGTGGGCGCAACAACAACCACGACGGCGGCCCCGAACAGGGTCCTGGAACCCGAATTGCCCCCCTGTCCAGCAAGGCAAGGCCCCATCCCGCTTGTCAGCCCCTGGTCTCCATCGAAGGCCCCTCTGTGGCGTCCCGCAGTTCGTCGCGCTTGCGTCGCTCCGGTTTGGCGTCAAAGAGGCCCGGACAGAGAGCAGGAGGGACCGCCTCGCAGTGGTGGCCGTCAGCTCTGAGGCCAAAGCTCGCTCGACCTGCCGTCTGTGACTGACGGAAGCATGATGGTGTGCTGGCCGGTGGTGGGAGACGGGGCCGCGCACTGGCTCTGGCTCTCGCTCATCCATGTGGCCAGCCACGGCTGCTGCACCGAGGACCTGCGCTGGGACATCCATTATTATTCCCGCCCCTTTGGGCCAACAAAGACGTGTGTCCGCGCCCGCGAGAGGAAGGGTCGTCGGGCTCGTAGCTGTGCGTCCATGGTACAGTACTGCACAGTAAGGTCCAGTACCTTTGCTTGGTACGCACGCAGTCGCAGTCTGGTGTCAGGCCGATCCGCAGCATTCCATCCTCGGACGACCCTGGATTAGGGGACCGAACCGGCTGTGGCCGCCCTTTGGTCGACAGCGCGGGACGTCACGGCGCCAGACAGAGGTCAGGAAGGGGTCGTCGCCCGTCAGGTACCGGGCCCAACTAGCGCGAACCTGCACGAGATGGTGGTGCAGCAGAGGAGGATCATTCCCGTTTTGCCGACTCAATTGGCGCGTTGCGGCTGTGACTGGGGGGTGTGTGGGTGGTGAGAAGCTGGCTGGGTATGGATGGCCAGTAGCTTGGATGAAAGAGGTCCCCGTCTCGCTGGCCTGAGGCGCATTGGATCCTGAGGGCGGGTGCCCGTCTGCCCAGATGGTCTGGGCGCCGCCGCCAGCCCCCTGTGGTGGCCCCCTCGCAACTGTAAGGTAGGTAATGCCAGGCCAGGCCACACCTGCCCGGGCAGTGAGTGTGGGTGAGGTGAGAACTGCCCTGCCCGCCCTGGAGCGCCGGTGCAGCTCCCGTCGCGCCCGCCGCCCCTGCTGGGCCGCCGACCCGCCTGCCCGCCTGCCACCCGCCGCTGTGGCTGCTCCTCTGGCTGGTCCAGCTCGCTCCACAGGCATTGATGAGGCACTCAGGCTCCTGGCGCTGGGTCAGCCAATATTCCCTCCTCGCGCCCAATCCATCCACGTTGCTCACGTTCCTCCTCGCCGACCTTGCCTTTCCGGCTCGACATCCCGCCCGCGCCCTCCTCGTACTTTTTTCCTCCGTGCATCCTCCCACGACCTCGCCGCTCTGCTTTTGTCACGGCACCGGCGCAGAGCAAGCTCCCCAGCATCGTCGGCGCTCCTCCGTTCCTTTGTCTGCGCCGCGCCCGCTTGCTCGCCTCGGCTCCCCCCCAAAAGCAAAAGCCCGGCCGACCTCCTGATCCCGCGTCCGTGGCGGACGCCCTTCGACACGCCCTGGCCGCCGCTCGACCCGCGCCATTGGAAGCCGTCCTGCGGCTCGTCCTTGGGCCTGACCTGACCCCGTCGACGACACCGCATGGTCGTCCGTTCCGTCGATAGCGAAACCGTTGCTTTTCCTGTCCGGCCCCGCTGCCGTCACTCGGAGCCGCCGTCGATGCCCTCGAGTCCGTAACAGCCATCCGCCGTCCCGTCGCACGAATCCTCAACCGTCCTCAACTTCGGCCCGCGCCCTCACTCGACGCCGACCAGGCTCCCACCCGGCGGCCGCTCGTGCCGTAACACGTCGCCATGGCTACCATCGTCGACGAGTATCTGGACACCCAGATGGACACTGACGATGTCTTCCCTTGCAAAGGGTGCGGCGAGGTTCGTTCCGTCCGCCTCCGACCCTGCCCTGGAGCGCGAACCTGACCTGTCTATTGCACAGATTCTCGAAGAAGGGAAAGCCTTTGAACTGGGTACGTTGATGCTGCCTCAGCCTGCCCGCCAACGCACGTTGCGTGGCTGGGCTGCCTGCCAGCTGGCGGGCTCTGTTCATCACGGTGCCTGGCTGGCCGTTCTCCCACCGATAACCACGGCTGCGAAACTGACACTCTCTTTTCTATCTGACAGCTGGCAACCGGTGGCACCTTGACTGTTTCCGTTGCAACACTTGCGGCACCCTCCTCGACTCAGACGCAAACCTGCTCCTCCTCGGTGACGGCTCTCTCATCTGCAACAACTGCACCTACAGTTGCAGCGCCTGTGGCAACAAAATCGAAGATCTCGCCATCCTCACCGGGGACCAAGCTTTCTGCGCCACCTGCTTCCGATGCCGAAACTGTAAACGCAAGATCGAGAACCTGCGATACGCGAGGACATCGCAGGGCATCTTCTGCATGGGGTGCCATGAGACACTAATGGCCAGGCGCAGGAAAAAATCCAAGGCGGCCGCCGCCGCCAAGGCTCGCGAGAAAGAGAACTCGCCTGCCATGACCGAAAAGTCCCTGCCCGCGCTGCCGCCCAACGCGATCCCCAACAACGCCTTCTCCAACGATCGTGTCGACCCCGACTCTGACACCCCGACCGAGCTCTCCCCGCGACCCCGCCCGGGCCACAGATACGACGAGTCGTTATCCCGAGGCAGCTCCCGGCCTGCCCGTTCTCCGGAGCGCGAGGCGGCCGCCAAGTCCGAGGGCCTCAGCCTCCCGGCGACCACATACCGAAAGAACCGCAACTCGGGCATGTATGCCACTGTAGATCCCTCAGAGTCGCCCGACAGCTTCTTCATCCCTATCGGTGTTGATCCAAGCCCTGGCCCGTACAGTGGAACCCCCCGGTCGACGTCGGACAGCGCTGGCGCGAAAAAGGACAAGGACTACTTCGGCGTGCCCAAGTCATCGTCTGGTTCGTCGGAGAAGCGCAGCGACTCCCACGCATCCACGCCGCACATTGCCTTCCAGGAGAAGGGTCGGCAGCACTCGTCTGACCACGATGTCACGCAAGCCAAGTCACAGCCGCGAAATCAGTCCAAGGGTTCGGACCAGGACCAGAGTAAGACGTCTCCATCAGGGAACGAGTTCCAACTCCAGGATGCCCCCAGGACAAAGAGCCTCGCGTCGCGAAGCAATAGCTCCAACTCTGTGCCCCAAGACGGCGCGTCTGGCAAGTCGGCTAATGGCATCTCCCGCAAAGACGGACTGTCCAACTTGTCGGAGTCAAGAAAGACAAACGACAACATGCCACCACCTCGTCCTTCCCAGGAGTCCAAGTGGCAGGAGGACGACGAGAACAGCTCGCACGATGTCAGCATAAAGGGCACACCACGAACCGACAGCTCCAAGTCGATTCCGCGTAAAGAGGTCGCCTCAAATGCCTCCAGGAACGGTACTACCCCTCTTTGACCTTGGCGAGTGACCAGGATGATCGCTGACACCCTCGTTTAGCAAACGGCAAGCCGGCCACCCAGGGCAGGCCCCCGGCGCCGGGCAATAAAGCTGGAACCACCGACACGTACATGCACCCACGCGCGGCACCTGCGCCGCCAGGTATCCAGGGCCATGCCACGAAGGAGTCCATCAGCTCCAATTACGAGCCGGCGTCTCCCAAGCACTCGCCCAAGCTACCTAGGTGGAGCAGCGGGGGGGATTTCAGCATGGATGAGGACATGGCTAGGATCCTGGGAACTGACGAAGGTTCATCCTCCATTCTGCGCAGAGTCTCGAACGTTGTTCGTCACGGCCGCACCGGTAGCATCGAGTCCGGCTACCATCCGCACAGATCGAGCCACACGCGTAGCATCAGCGAGACTACACGGGCAACGGTCTCTCCCAGGTGGCCCAAGACGCCCGCGGGCGACGACCACAACGGCCATCCTGACATCAGCAGCCCCGTCTCTCTCGCCACTGCCGACGACCCCCACCTGCTCAAACGCCAGCTTAGGAACTCGGAGCAGAGGGTTGCCGAGCTGGAGCGACAGTTCACCACCGAGAAGGATCTTCAGAATCTGAACAAGAAGCTCATTGAGAAGAGGAAGACGGTCTCCGTCCTCGACACCCAGACTGAGATTATGATTCGCCAGCTGGAAGTATTGGCCGGCTACGTCGAGCGGGCAAAGGAGACCAAGACACCCGTCGACCCCCGTGATCTGGAGGATTCTGCCATCAAGGAGTTCGTGCAGAAGCTCGACAAGGTCAAAATGGCCATGTCAGCATCCATCGAGCAGCTTCACGAGGAGCGGGACTTGTTGATCGCGGAGAAGAACCAAGCCATGTCTGACCGGGACCGCGCCCTCATGGAATTCGAGCAGCTTTCGTCAAAGAACGCACAGCTGGCCGACATGAATAACGATCTTACCCATCAGATTCAGGAGCGATTCAAGTCCCAGATTGGCGGCGAGTTGAAGCCCCCCAACGGTCTCGGAATCTACGGTTCTAAGGGCGGCGCCGGCTCGTCTCTGAACCTTGATGCTTCTAGCATGACTACGGGAGCCACGCTGGTGGCCGACGAGGAGCCTATTGTTGAAAGCGGCCCCACGGTGGTGCAGGTTCGCAAGGGCCAAGTCAAGAAGTTCAACTGGAAGAAGGGCTCCAAGACCATGGCTCAGAATGTCGCCAAGGGTGTGAACAGGGCCGTGGTCGCGTTCCAGCAGAATGACCGCGAAAGGATGCAGCATGGCGGGCTGGCTGGAGACAACATTGGCTTGCCGTACAACATGACAGTCTCGCAGGTGGAATCTCCCGCCCAAGTTGGACCGAATAGCCAGAACAGGCAGCAGCTCGATCCTTCACGACAAGGGTTTGGCTTCTTCGGAAAGAAGAATGCCATGCCCAAGTCCGCGTCGGCCAGCGCCGTTGCAGTGCCCGCCGCCGCGGAGCCTGCTTCGACCCTGTTCGGCTCTGAGCTTGGTGAGCGAGTCGAGTACGAACGCCGCCAGATTCCCACCGTCGTCTCACGATGCATCGAGGAGGTCGAGCTCAGAGGCATGGATCAGGAAGGCATCTACCGCAAGACAGGCGGAAATTCGCAGGTCAACATGATCAAGGATGGCTTCGACAAGAATGACAATTTCGACATCTCCGACCCCGACCTTGACATCACCGCCGTCACGAGCGTTTTGAAGCAGTACTTCCGCAAGCTGCCCACACCGCTGCTCACCTTTGATGTATATGAGCGTATTCTGGAGTCCAACGGTATGTCCACTGCTGTCTGACGTGTTGGGCCCTTCCACTAACCCAATATAGCAATTGCCGACGAGACCGAACGGTGTGATCATTTGCGAAAGACATTTGCTTCGATGCCGCAGAGTCACAAGGACTGCCTCGAGTTCTTGATGTTCCATCTATCTCGTGTGGCTCAGCGCGAACCCGAGAACTTGGTACGAAGGTCTCTTGTACTAGATGATCGACACTCACTAACTCAACAAATAGATGTCGCCGAAGAACCTGGCCGTCGTCTTCGCGCCTACCATTATGCGAGACCTCAGCATCGAGCGAGAGATGACGGACATGCACGCGAAGAACATTGCCGTGCAATTTGTCATTGAGAACAGTCACAGAATCTTCGACGACTCGTAAACAGGGTCCTGGAATGCATCAGAGGGTCGGCGCAGTACAGTGTGCGTCGGCATTGCTGTTCTCATAGATGCCTGCGGCCACTTTCATCACTGGGGAATACCCCTTTTTTGCTTTTCTTTCAGCCCATTCACAGCCCAGGTCATCACTGCGGAGTTGGTACGGAGAGGGAGATATCATGGAGGGCCCGGCGGTCTTGTGTCGTATCTCCTGGTCATTGTTTGGGGCCGCCTTTTGCTCTGCGCGCGCGCGTCTTTCTTCGTTTGGGCAGGCACTTTTCTGTACGTAGCTGGGCGACTGAGAGCTTCGCCTTATACCGATTTGCAGTGCGGTATTGTTCTGTAGCCCTCATGTTTTGAGGGATAAACGATACCAAAAGTACTCTGGACGGTACTATAACGGACGATATTGAAGATAGTTGGCAGGAGAGTTCCTTTGCTTGTGATGGCCGCCTGACGGAAGCTTGTGATGCTCATCTTATGCCACCACAACTCCGACCCTCCAGATCTGCAGGCACAGTAGCTATCTATGTCTCCGGTATGAAGTTAGACTCTTCCGAATGTTATATGGTGACGTGCTATCATATGCACCGGTCCGGCGCCGGGGCGACGTCCCAGCCGGACCCGATCGTTACCTTTCGCTGCTCCATTCGGGCCAAGGTTCGCATCGATCGCATAGAGAGGTGGGAGACTAGGCCGATGACCGACCAGGTTATGGTCCAGACTGTTCTGCGAGCTTCATACTAAAACCTCAACGGGCGCCATTTGAGGGCGCCTGGCCTTCGTGTAAGACGTACAAGAGGAAGAGAAACCATGCAAGAGTGCGGCGTAGCGTTTGCTGTCGGCGGGAAGCACTGTTGCGGGGTTTACGCAGCATTCGGGCGCATCACGATGCGAATGCGGTTGCTCCTCTTCACCTGTGAGGATGGCATTGATACCCATGCGTGATAATGTCAAAACGGAATGATGCCCGGATGGCATCTGCCTCTATGATCTGAGAAGCGGCTTGGACAGTTCTCGCACAGGGGCGAAACGTTTACGCATCGCCAACGAGGAATGGGAGACCGGCTCGGGATGTTATCAACAGGCCGCTTTAGCTGCTACCACGGGCGGGATCATGGAAATTTTGAAGCCTTTAACCGCCCGTCTCCATTAGGTTACACCGTAGCGAATGTCCGGGCGGCGCTATATCACGGAAGGATAACACTAAGCGGCAACCTGCTTGTGTAGGATAGAGCTAATGCCACTACGGATGCACGTGTTCTCGGGCAATATGGAATCATCACCGGCTAGGTTCTTATTGCATACGTAGGTGACTGAGTACTCTATGGAGGTAGAGGATGGGAACACTGGAGTTGACATCATCTTATATATACCCCGAGTAGTCATACCTGCAGAGTGGAAAGCTACTCGCTAAAGCGACCTCTACCCGGCATCAGAGTCCTCAGTATGAAGGGCATCACTCTATCGGCCGTTCTTTGCGCGTTCGTCGCGTCGACACTAGCAGCAGACTGCACAGGGAATTCTGGCTCACCTACAACAGACCCATACTGGGAACTTCGCGAGAACATGTGCGGCACTCCCCCAATTTTTGGGTGCAAGTACCAGGAAAATTGTATTCTGCAAACGCAGGAAACATACCAGACGTTTAAATTCGTCGTCCAATTGAAACGGACAAACTATGACGGCGTCAAGGGTTTCGCCGATTGCTGGGTACGTCGCATGCCTTTGATTGCCTCCTTCCCACTGCTGCACGACGAAGGATGATTGACCAACGATTACAGGACGCTACCGAGTAAGGAATCCAACCTTCCATGCTTGGTGTATATACTTTTCTAATGAGAACAGGGACATGATAAACCAGTGCATAGGCTCGGGGTGGACTGACGGTGCGACGTGGAAATGGAATGGCCAATCCTACGAGTTCAAGGCATGGTACCTCGACCCATGAGAAGCAAGCCATCGCAGTCTTGCTCGCATAGTCGCTCGGCCGCAAATAACGAGTCCATGGAACCCATCATGCGCCAGTTCGCTCTGTGTCGAAGGGTGTCATCGCTTAAAGGCAAATGGTGGTACGTCTACTGGATATAGAGACAAGCATGTCGACGGCTTTGATACGTGACTCTTCCGTGAGATCTGCCACCTCAAAACGGAGGATCGAATCTATTCGCAGGGAAGATACTTTGTGTGAGAGTGAAAGTGCACACTGCGCTTTACACGTACCCAGAACCGAGCGCCGCCTTCCGTACACCTCCAGCCCAAAGCAACTCCTCCCGCGGGTCCTCGCGGCCAACCCAAAGACTCAACAATTCTCGACAGTCGTCGGTTGAAACTCCGGCTCAAGGCCACGAGCAGTCAATATCTTGATCATCTCCAAGCTCTTGCCAGCTTCGTCGAAGGGGAGGCCGAAGAAGGCCACCTCGGTGCCACGCAGCACCGTGAAGTGGACTTTGCTGACGCCGGTTTCGGTGCGGATGACGTTGCACAGCTGCTCCATGTCGGCCTGGCTGCGACCGCGTTCCAAGATGATCATGGCCGGCCAGAGGACGCGATCCACTGGCGAGTTCCGATGGGATATCTCGCTGTACATGTCGTGGAAGTGCGCGGCGTCCTCCGCATGGGTTTGTGAGGAGATTGGTCCCGTGTAGACGTCGTGCTTGCCAGGACGCGACGGCCTTGGAGAACGGCGCTCGGCGCGCCTAGCCATTCGGTTGAGTTCCATCTTTCTGGTCTGCTCTTGGACCTTTCTGTGGAGTAATTCCGGTCAATAACGTTGACCGTGGGGAGAAAAGTCGGTATGCGTAACTTGTTTGAGGCGATCCCATTACCTTATGGGACGTTGGCTCAGAGCTCAGAACCGACGCGGAGGCGGAATCTTGCAACTTATATTTCTGTCCCAAGGTGATTCTTGCCCTCCATTTCATCGCGTGGCTCGCCTTGTTTCAGGATATTGTGAATAGTGCTTAACTTTACGTAAATGTATGAAGAGGTGACCGAGATGCGACCTGAGCCACTTGAGTGTTCCTGAAGATTCTCCATCCGCATTTCTGGTTGACGGACCATTAATTATGAGAGACGGCCTACTTCGCATAAATCCGCAGACTGTGCGTGCGACACTGTTCGACATCCCAGCATCGCGCGTAAGTCATGTATCATGTTCATCCAATATATTACAATGTCTCTACACAAACCAGACCCATGCGCCTGCTACCAATCGCCCAGCCGACTCCGACAGTGATGCGCTGGTCACGCAAACCAGCGTAAAAACAATAAGACAGCGAAAAACATGTTACACGCTTTTCATTTCCCGACATCAAAGTTCCCCAAGCGTGTCAAAAACGCCTACACCATGCTCTGCTCCAATCCCAGAACGACAGGTGGGTGGGTTGTCGGGTAGTACCGTGCTCAAGAAGCAGCCGCCGCACTGCCAGCGGGGCTGATGCCCTGCTCGCGCTGCTTCTTGACGATGTAGTACGTAATGAGGCTCTTGGGGTCTTCCTTGACACCGCGGAGCGCATCCCAAAATGGCGCCTCACCGACACGCTCGTGCAAGGACACGCAAAATTTGACGGCGTCCATGCGAACGCCGGAGTCGGCTGACTCGATGCATCGCCTGGCTAGGCCGGTGAGTTGCCCGAGCTCGCCCTCGTTGGGAACGAACTCGGTGCGCTTGTCAAGCATCTCGCGTAGTACGTGGAGGCCCATGCTGAGGGTGCGGCAGCCCTCCGTAGTGGTATCGGAGCAAGACTGGAGCCGTCGAGTGAGCACAACGACCATCTCCGGGCCATCGCCTAGGGAGATGAGCTCGTCGGCGAGAAGTTCGAGTCCACTCACGACATGGGCACGGGAATCGTACGCGCTTCTTGTCTGGAGGAGAGACTCGAGGGCCTTGGAGACGTGCGGCTGGAAATTGTCGCGCTCCTTCCGTAGTAACAACTTGATGGTTGTAAGGATCTGGGCCTTGACATCCTGCGCCTTGTCCGCGGGAAGGCTGGTGAGGGGGTCTTCAAGGAACTGGAACAGGCCGAGCACTAGCGCTTCGAACTTGTCGTCCGTGAAGATGGTCCGGCTGTCGCGGATGAGCGACTGCAGCTTCCGGAAGCCATGAACTTCCAGCGACTTGGCCTTGATCTTGGTAATGCCGCTGTCCAGCAAGCGGCTGTTCTGCCTAGTCTTCTCTGGAGAATCGATCTGCTCTGCGGTGGGCTCCTTGCCGTTGGGCTTCTGGAGGTTCGCTGCATCCTCGTTCACCGGCTTGTCCTCCAAGACAGGAGACGTGAGCGTGGGCCTCGGTGTCAACTGGTCATCCGTGAAAGGGTCTTCATACACCTGCAAGGTGCGAGAAGATGTTTCTTGCGGCATCTCAGGCTGGCTTGGGAGAGCCACTAGTGTCGACTCGGACTCAACGGGCATTCTCGGCGGCCGGGCTTGCGGTGACGAAGTTCTGATGCTTGACATTTGCGGTACAACAAGCGTGATGTCTTCGTTTGCCTTTGAGGGACTGGATGATGGAATCGCTGTATGCGATTGGCGGAGTTTGCTCGGGCTGTCCTTGGGCGATGGGATTTTGGACACCGGTGAGCGCACCGGCGAGCGCACCGCTGGAGACGCGACACTCGATTCGCTGGCATGTGTAGCATGACCAGGTCTTGTGCGCGGCGCAGTCCTCTTTGGTGTCGTGTCTTTGGGCTTCGGCGTGGCGTGCTTGGACCTGAGAGTCTCGGGGCTGTCGACCTCAACTGAAGAGGGTTGATCCCGGACTGAATAAGGCCCAGCAGTGGCTGGTCGAGCCGCCATCTCCGGCCTCCTTCGCGCCGGTCGCATAGGAGCCACTGACATACCTCCGGCGTTGACAGCGGTGGTCGGTTCGGGACGTGATCGCGTTCCGGATGGCTTTGCGGGCGCAGCCGCGTGGCTATGGTTGCTCGTTGTTGTCGTCGTCGTCCGAACGGGCGAAATGTGTGCCATGGCAGAGCCGGGACGCGCAGGAAGGTTCTTGGCGGCGAGTGCCTTTTTCTGAGCCAGCATGGCTTCGCGCAGACTCGGCTTGCTCGAGGTCATTGTGCTTCTAGACAAGCCAAGGCCAGGCCTGGCTGGAGGGTCTGCCCCCTTCTTCGGAGAGTTGGGGTTGTTGGGATCCTTGTTGAGGAGCTTTTGCGCCGTCGAGTCCAAATCGGCCATTATCCTGCGCCTGAATTAGCCATGTCAGACACGCAACTCATCGGCAAGGCTACTTACGCATCAGCTCGGTTCGGCCAAACGCCCCAGAACGCCCAGTACGTTGAACGCATCTTTTCACGCACGCCTGGGTTTGCATCCCCGAGGCCCTTCTTGATGCATTTCTCCATGATGTCGACGCCTCCACTATGCTCGATGTGGCTCTTATGGTGAGCCTCCTTTTTCAGTATAGTCTTGAGCCAGCCCGTCGAGTATAACCTTGGCTGCACGTTCTTGTCCTGGCAAGCGCCCCACACGTGCTGCATCAATCGAGGCGTGTAGCTGACACGGCTGATTATTGTGTCGACAGTGGTGTTGGCGAGCTGCGAGCTGATCTTCTTGGTGCCGGCGGAAAGCTTGACGAACGTCTGCATCAACATCTCGACCATGGGGTCCAGGGCTGGGCCAAAAGTAATGGCGATATCCTGAACCAGTCCGCAGCCCTCCTTGGACAAGCTTGTGCGCAGCGAGTTGATGGCCTTGATAATGCCGTCTAGCATGCTCCGGATGCCGGCCAGGAAGGCGTCGGGAAAGTCGGCCGGCGCATTGCCGGCATTGAGCTTCCGCAGCGTGCCCATGCTCTGTTCGCGCTTCAACCAGTTTTGTTCCGTCTCTTTGCCCTCAAAGTGCCACGCCATCTCTCGGAACATGTCCTCCAGCTCGCGGTGGGTATTGACATACATGGGTTCGATGGGCTCGGCTTGCGTATCGACGGCGGGTGTCACGGGGCGCTCGCTCGCAACGGAGGACACACTGGCGGCGAGAGTCGGGCGGGTCGGGGGAGCGGCGTCACCCGGGGTGTCTGGACGGCCACCGGTCGGAGCGAGGGCCTTGACGATGGCCTGTTCGATAGCGGGTCGGACCTTGAAGTTCTTGAGCTGTCGCTTGAGGTCGGACTTTGCCGCGTTCGGTGCGGTCCTAATTTGATCGGTACGTTAGCGGATGAAGGCCGCGTGCGAGGCAAGGGCTGAATTTGCATACTTGAAGAGTTCAATGACGGTGCTTTTAGCCGCATCCCGAACCATGCCGTCCGCATCCTCGAGCAGCTCCATCAGGAGCGGCACATAGCTGCGAAACTGCAGCCCTTGTTCCTTGTGTGTCTATTGACGGGTTCTGTGAGTGTCTGTCCCTGAAATAGGTCGCGACGAAAGACGTACCTGCAGAAGCCACTGCATGCCCGCCTCCTTGGCCCTCGGGTTCTTGCCGCTCATGGCCGAGTTGCGCACGACGCGCTCAACATCCTGCGGCGCCACGGCGTAGAAGGTGTTGAGGCCCTGAAGCGCCAGCCCGCGATACTTGTCCTTTTGGTCGCCGAGCTTCTCGACGACAAGCGGCAGGGTGCGAACGGCCTCCTTGGCCAGGAGCTTGGGATCCTGGCGCGACAGGCGCGTGAGGAGGTGGTTCAGGGCGGTGAAGCCGGCGTTGACGAGCGCCGAGTGTTGGGACGACGACGCGGCGCGCAGACCGTCGAAGAGCAGGGGCACCGTGGTCTCAGGGACGTTGTGCTGCTTGATGCACGACTTGACCGTGGTGACGAACTGGACCTTGGCGTCGAGGGACGAGTCGCTGCGCAGAATGGCCACCAGGTCGGCGACCTGCTGGTCGGTGAGCTTGCTGTCCGCCATGGCCGGTAGGTACGGCGTGGCTCGTCGATATAGCTAGAGCTGTCGCGAAAGCAGTCAGCGCCCGCTTCACATGTCAAGCCCAGCTGGCTGCCGGCAGATTTGGTGATGCGCAGGACGAGACGCCTCAGCGGACAAGGAGAGACAAAGAATTGCGCGCCGGACTCCGCGCGAGAGCAACGGTGGCGTCCAAGGGCTCAAACCTGCCCGCGGGAGTCCTTCGGGATCAAGGGGTGAGACCTCACAATTTAGCTGCGGATATGCGAGCGGAGCTTTTTGTCGCAGGGAGCAAAGGGGGGGTGGTGGGCTCGCTGTCAGAGTCTTGGGCAGCGAGAAGGGCGAATCAGGCTGGAGGGCGACGATCGCATTGGGAGGGCGCGCGCGCGGTGCTGCGTGTGTGGTCGATGGGAGTGTCGGGAGATGCTTTTTTGTTGACGGTCGAGGGTGTTTGTGGTTGTGGTGGTGAGGAGAGGCGGAGGCGCGCGCAAAACAAATCCACCCTCATGGAGGTGTGGTGAGACGACGGGCGGAGGTGCAGCTGCTGGGCGCCCGGCGGGAAGGGTAGTTTGGGCGTGCGTCGTCCCCTATCTCCGTTCCATTGATGGGCGGCCGTTGTTAGGCGGCATCGGCTGACCTGACCGTCCCTTTCCGGCGGCCCAATGCAGCCAGCCCAGCCAGAACTGCATGGAGGGGTTCCAGGCCGGGGTGTGGTAACGGGAGGTTGCCGTGGTAAACGGTGGGCACCGCAGTGGGCGGGCGGGCACCTGGGCAGCTTGGACTACATTACGGGGACGCGGGAGCTCCATCCGCCAATCGCAGGGACCGAGGCCGCTGTGGCTGCGCGGGCTGGTGCTGAGCAACAGCGTCATTTTAGCGGGGCGTCGCGTCTCATCCGGGCTGGTGAGGCGCGTTGCGTTGCGGTGGAGCCCGGCCACACCTCAGGCAGCTGGAAGCGCTGGACTGGGCTGCGCTGGGCTGGGTTATTACCCCGCCAACTCATGGAGCCTGCGTTGACTGCGTGAAGTGTGAAGGCATCCATACTCGAAGATCTTCGATCGCTCTCGCGAACATCGCGTAGGCACATCATTGCTCATATTCACCTCTCGCCGATGGGATTTGTATTGAAATCGTAGCTGCTTCTACGCTTTTTTTCCTTCTCCGGACTGGCTTTGGTGAGAGTGCCCTCCCGCTGTCGTCCACCGTACAAGTAACATCTCGGTGTCCCCGTGCCCCTCCCCCTCCTCCTCCTTCCATCCACCATCCCTCCCCGAATCCGGGGTCCAAGACTCCAGGCCAAAGATCCGCACTTCAACCGCAACCCCCGGCCCTCGGCCCTCTTGAGCACACGACCCTGCGACACCTGTAGACTATACCCCTGTTAGAGCGCCAGCGCAGCCGTCGTCACATCTTAGAACTGCCCTAGCGGCGGCACTGTCTCTTCTCAATCTTGCTCCTCTCCACCTCTCACTCTGCGGTTGCACGCCGCACCCGCAAGCACCATGTCCGTCCCGCCCCCCGGAACAACGCCGGCGCCGTCGTCGACGAGCATCTTCCAGCCCGCCATGTCGCCCGCCGTCCGCCCGCCCGCCGCGTCATCATCCAACTTCAAGGGCGGCAAGCCCTGCTCCAACGGCGGCGACAACGGCAGTACTACTACCGGCAACGACTGTGATGACACCGGACACGCGGCCGCGGCGCCCAAGTTCCCGGTGCCCAAGCTCCGCCTCGAGATCCGCGACCTCGTCCACCCCGGCGCGCGCCTCTTCCTCGACTCGGTCAACGCCACCGAGTGCATGACGGCCGCCGTCGCCAACCTCCTCCGGCTGCTGTACGGCTCGCCCGCGGACCCCACCACGACGGTCCCGCCGACCCGCTCCGTGACGCTCATCCTGCGCGACATGCCCGGCGTCGCGTACACGACGGGCTCCGACCTCGACGACGACCACAAGGAGGTGCACTTCTCCCTGCCGTACCTTTCACGCGTGCCCGCGCCCCGCGCCCCGCAAGAGGTCGCCGGCGTCGTCACTCACGAGCTCGTCCACTGTTACCAGTACAACGCCTTCGGCACCTGCCCGGGGGGCCTCATCGAGGGTATCGCCGACTGGGTGCGCCTGCGCTGCGGGCTCGTGCCTCCGCATTGGACCCGTGACGCAGACGGCGACTGGGACGCCGGGTATCAGAAGACGGCGTACTTCCTCGAGTACCTTGAGCGCCGGTTCGGGGACGGGTTTGTCCGCCGTCTCAACGAGAAGCTGCGCATCCAGCGGTACAAGGCGGGTACCTTCTGGTGCGAGCTCACGGGCCACGGCGTCGATGCTCTCTGGACGGACTACGGCGAGAGCCTCAAGGCTGGGAAGGAGGCGACGGGCTGTGATGCTCCGCAGACCAACGGCAGCAGCTAGCTTCTGCGTCGCAAGAGAAGCAAGATGATCGGCGCACAGCGGGGACTGGAATCGGGTTAAAGGCATGCATGTTGTTGGCGTTCCGGCTCACAAGCACATGGCGCAAAAGGTTGCATATAAACATTCAAAGAGATATTGGTATAAACTGAAATCAAGTGATGGGACGGCCAATTGCTCGCGGCCAGTGACGAGAGACCTGATATCCAACAGTCCGCAATTAATCCCTTTCCAACGCCCTGCCGTATTCTTCGCGGGATCAAGGCTCCGTAACGCCAATAACAATGAGTCTAGGATCTCCGTCCTTTCGCCGCGCTTTTTCTTCGCCTGCTCTGCCTTGCGACCTTCTCTATGCTTGCACGGGACCGTGGGCGTCGCTCTCGCTGATGACACTGCCTACCTCGGACCAGCTCACTGGCGTCAGCACCCCCTCGCTGGCGCTGAGCACGTCGTACGGCCGACCCGTCTCGGCCGCGCGAAGCGAACGTGCGTCCTGAGCGAGGTCCTCCCCGGACCCGACCAGGGAAACCGAGTCCGTCGGCGTCAGCTGCCCGTCGTCGCTGACGAGCTCCGGCTCCGACATGGGTGCCGCAGGCGTGACCGGCAGGGGCGAGTAGAAGTTGCGGCTCGAGTCTTGCGCCCACGCCTGGATGGATGCGTACGCCTCGTGGCGGTCCTCCTGCCCGGCAGACATGTACTCGTCGTTGGCGAGCTCGCGCTCCAGCGTGCCTGGTAGCTCAGACGGAGACTGCTGGGATGCTTGCGTGTGCGAAACAATGTCGATGAGGGCGGGTGATGGCTCCAGCGTGGCGCTGCGCACATCGTCGCCCTCGCGCGTGGTTGCGCTGTAAATGTCCGACAAACCTTCATCCTTTCCAGGCGCAATGAAGGTGGCGCTCATCTCCGCAACGTCGTCGCTGTCAATGTGGTGCTCGTCCGCGAACGGGTTCGTGTACAGCGCAGAGGAGAACCCTCGTGAGCCTTCGCCGCGATGCCGCAGCCCAGGCTGCGAATCTTGCACCTCGGCGCCACTCTTGAAGACGTACGCCCCCGTCTCGGCACCCTCGTCCTTGCGCAGGAAATCGTCAAACGATGACCCCCGATGGGCGCCGGCGGGTCTCTCCATGGGGGCTGGCAGCGCAGCCGGTTCCTTCTCCTCCTTGTCCTTCTTCTCGAGCAGCACCCTGTTCCAGTAGAGGAGCTCCTCGCGCTGCCTCCTGCGGGTCTCGTCATCGGCATCGACACCGGGTTCGGCGCCGGCGCGGGCTCCGCCGCGGGACAGCATGAAGCCCTCGGCGTCCTCGGGCCTGTTGAACCGGGGCTCGCGGTGGGGCGGGTTGATGCCGTCGCCCATCGAGTGCAGGGTCATGGCGATGCGTCGCCGGATGTCGTCGGCGTAGCGTCGCAGCTCAGGCGACTCGTACATGGCCAGCGCGGCGGCGACGGCCACCGAGACGGCGACGACGGCTCCCGAGGCCAGGACGACGTGGTTCACGATGGGCATGTTTGATGTTGGCAGACAGACGGATGCCCGGCCGACGGGGGACGAACGAGAGGCGGGGTAATTGGGATGCCGCGGGGGGAGAAGAGACAAGTACGTCAAAAAAGTCAACGATGTTTGTGACAGCAGCCTACGGGCGCAGGAGAGGCGACAAAGATGAATGTCGTCGAGCTTGCCGCTGGGCAAGGGGGGCGAAGTCAGAGAGCTCAACTGTGAGCTCCGTGACGAGGCCTCAGGTGATGATGTCGGCTGTGCTTGCGTAGGCCCATTTGCCACAGGGGCCGTCATCACTGTCAGGCGAGCGCCTTGATTTCCCCATTGGGACGCAAAGCTGAGGAGCAGGCCGCGTACGTAGGCGTGCGCGGTCACATGACCACGGCTGGGCCTCACAGTTCTGCCTTGCGCTGTGTGGCTGGAGTCAAAAACGTGTTTGACGACGACTAGGCAGGCAGGCAGGCAGGCAGGCAGCGATTTGCGCACCAAACGGGCAGAGCGCAGCGTGTCCGCAGCCTGCAAGGTAGGTAGTGTGTAGGTGAGGACACGCAGCGCGCGGCTGGAGATGGGCAGGCAGGTATTTGAGAGAGAAGAGGCCACGCTATGTTTGTTGAGGGCGCAAGAGGATAAAAGGGCCACTGCCGGGTGTGGGACGGCGTTCTTTAGCTGCAGAAGCCACTGTTGCCCGCGTGGGAATCGACGAAGCGATGCACTGTAAGGCACGAGATGCGTACGCCCACACGCACGACGCGCGAAGAAGTCGGAAGCGGCGCCGGGGGCCGCCAGACGAAGAGCAGGCATTTGCCCAATCTGGCAAGCACACTCGAGCGGCGCGTCTCCGATGCGACGCTGGCTGGAAAGGCTTGTCTGCCGGCAACGGGCCGAGTGAAAGTCGACAACGAAGCGCCCAAGTCGTCGTCCCGCAATTCTCGCGATTCAGCCATCGGGATGCCATTGTTATTAACAGGCTGCCGTCTAACCTTACTCGCAACTACCGTACTGTACATCCTGTGCCAGACTACACTGTACGTACGTACGTACGTACGAAGGACGTTCGTCCCTTTCTAAAATCCGCGCCGTCTCGGTCTCGCGTCAGTCTGGATACCCACACTCGGCCGTCGGCGCGCCAGCTCGTCGCGAAGCGGGCTGGCTGGCTGGCTGGCCGCTGGTGGCGGCGGGCGCGCGAGATCAATCGCGCCGGCGCGCACGGCAACGCCGGCCGTCGGTCCGAGGGTCGCCAGCGCAACGAGCCCATTTTGCTTACACGTTCGTTCGGTGCCAGCACGGAGTGACGCCCCGCGTCGCCGTGGAGCCGCGAGAGAGTGGAAACTCTCCATCCGTCAAGCCCGTCTGTCCCACAGCGAAGGGGGAGTGCCGCTCGCTGTTCCCGTCCCCAGTATTTGCCTGCCCTCCGCTGAGGCGCGCCGCGGTTGCTGGGCTGGAGAGGTGGCGTCTCCGAGCCGGCGCCGGGAATGAGCGGTGAATTCGATGACCCAGGTTTTTGCCCAGGCTTGTCAGGCCTGCCCGAACCCAGCTTGCCCAGCCCCATGGAAGCCTGCCTGGCTTGCCTGGTCAGTCGGAAGCCCCATCAATTGCACATCCATCCACCACGCCCTGTCAAGAACAAATCGGCACCGACACCTGCAGCCGTCACCAGCGGTGCAGCCCGTCGGGCGTTCTTGGCGGGCCCATTGGGGCGGAAGGACACGCAGGGTGCAGGGGCAAGGAAGGGTCCTGTCCTGTCCTGGCCTGTCGTGCCGGGTGCATCTGCACTTCTGCACGCTGCTGCACGCTGCAGCTCGTAAAATTGCGACTCGCCCCGTCTGTCGCGGACTTTCGGTGACGATTTGGGACTGCCTGACCCCCGTCAACCCGTCAATCCCCATGGGCCGTTGGGCCGATGCAACCACGCGCGCACTTGCTGCATTTGGGGCTCTGCAGGGCATCGATCCGATATTGCATGGGTGTGTGTTGCCTTGCACGTACGTTGCAGTTTCAGCAACGGGCATCACAGACGCCTTGTTACAGGTGCACATGTAGGTGGGCGACCAGGCGGGCTTTTGTCACCAACCCAGACAGGAAGCAGCACGCGAGAAAAGGGGCCACCGAGCAAGCAAGTTCAACAGACGAAAAAGGTTCCATTGGTGAATTACGACGAGCAACGCTGCGTCTGGCGAAACGTGGATGTAACCGACGCCGCCTCCAAGTACCTCACTGTCGCCAAGTGACAGCGTGCAGTCCCCCGAGGAAAACCGTTGAAAAAGTCTGCGACGCCCTGGTCGGCGGTCGCCACACCCCAGATCCGTGTCAGATAGGGTATCAGCCGAAAGGGGGAATAAATCCATCGAGACCGCTCCGTGGACTTGCCGCGGGAGCGTCCAGGTTTGTTGAGTGGATGGTGGCGGGTGGGCGGCTGGACGCCTTCTGTGGCCGCCGAATTGGTGGTCCAGTGCCGCTCAATCCGAGGCGTCCCAGTGCCGCTTGGGGTGGAGGGACGGGGATCTCTCCAGCGCCAGCCAGACGGGCACCCACTGCATCCACCACTAACCACCGGAGCCCCCGTCCACCCGCCGCCTCGGCAAGTGATGGGGGCCATGGTCTCGAGGTTGATTCTCCGAACAACAAAAAAAGGTTGAGTAAAAAATAACGCCGCATGCATTCTGTAACGCCGTATGCTTGTCTTGCTTCATGGTCGCAGCCGTAACATTTTTGGTTGGTGCTCGGGCACCATCGCCAGTGTCCGCGGCCATACTACGCGAGCACGAGCCGCCGGACATTGGTCGATGATGCCTCCGCCGAGTCTGTGACGGGGCATGTCTAAGACGTGGTGCTCGAGGCGCTGGAGTCGGCCGAGTCCATGGAGTTGGTACGGGCAGCCTTCATACGCTCACTGTAGAGGCCAGCGTGGTCAGCACACAGGTCTCCCCTTTTACACACGTAGACGGGATATGTAGACATACTAGGCGGAGCGGTCTTGCAGGGTGCAAGCCCAGCGGCTGTTGCCCGTCTTGATGTGGAACTTGATGCCCTTGTTGTCGCCAAAGGTAGCGGGCGCAGCAGGCTGGGCCGTGGTCGGAGCGCTCGAGGGCGCGGCGCCAGAGGAAGCAGGAGAGCCAGGCATTGTGTATGTGAGGGTTGTGTGTAAGCCGGAGGCTGTTGGTATGGACGATATGCGATATGCGTTTCGGTTTGGCAATGACAAGCAGGTTAACGGGACAAATAAACGGCAGAGTCAAGGGGAGGGCCCGGCGTCCTCTTATACAATCCCCGAAACAAGTGAGTGGCACCGTCCGTAGGTAACGAGGTATCAAGCTTATCATGGGTTTGGGGGGGGG